GGTTTGCACACATGCTCACACGTAGGTCTGGTGTGCACTGTGCATGTGCGTGTGCATGTGTGTGTCTGTGTGCACTGTGCCCCCGTGGGCTCCTGCATTCCAGGAGTGGGTTTGCACACGTGCTCACACGTAGGTCTGGTGTGTGCTGTACGTGTGCGTGGGTGTGTGTGTGTGCACTGTGCCCCCGTGGGCTCCTGCATTCCAGGAGTGGGTTTGCACACATGCTCACACGTAGGTCTGGTGTGCGCTGTGCGTGTGCATGGGTGTGTACTTGTGCTTCCGGCCCGTCCTTCTTTTGTCCTCCTGCTGATTCGAGGGCCCATCTTGGGCACGTCAGGGTGGCCTCCCCTGAACTGGGCAGTGAGCTGGGGCTGGGGAGGCCCCTCTGTCCCGAGGCCTCCTCCTCATGAATGGCACTCGGGGACGTCGTTCCCACACCTAATCATGTCCAAGAGAGGCCGGAGAGTGGGCACGGGGCACGTGACGGGCGAGAACAAGGGCCCTTTGTGTGCTTGGGCAGCTGTGGCTGCAGCCCGAGGCTGATGGACTGGCTGTCTGGCTGACCCCAGGGACAAGAGCTCTCCATGTCCCCCCAGGGCCCAGCCCCAGCCTCCGTCACCAGAGCTCCCTCCAGAACCCATGGGCCGCCAGGGAGGCCACTGTCCCTGGGGTGTCTCAGGAGCATCTTCCTAAATAGGGCGATTGTGATGAGGGCTCCGAGCGCCTGGGAGAGCAGAAGTGGGTCACAGGGTGGCCCCGCAGAGGCCACGCCCAGAGCTGAGGGAGTGAAGCAGGAGGACCAGACGGGGCCGGGCGGGCGGGCGGGCGGGCAGCAAGACGGCTCCAGCTCAGCCTGGTGCCCCACTGTCCCCGCAGAGCCCCCCTGCCAGGCTCCAGCCGCAGCCGTGGGGAGACCCCTTCCCCCTCTACTGCCCTCCCCTGGCCCCTGTCACACGAGAGACCTCAGCCTGACTCAGGCAGCCGTCCTTCATCGCGGCCACGCAGGAGCTTCCGAGTGGACAAAAGGCAGCTGCAGGGACGCTGCCCCCGGAGGCCCAGCCCTGGAAATCAGCAGACCAGCTACAGATGGAGGGCAGTGGGCGCAGGGAGAGGAGGCGGCCTCCTGAGAGCCTGGGTCTGGGGTGGGCTGGAGCCGCTGGGGGTCCCCGGTCCTCAGTCTACACAGACACAAGTGTGAGAGTGCACACGTGCCTGGGTGTGCACACACGCTTTCTCCATCTCTGTCCACGTCCACCCGAGCCGCAGGGCACACCCCGCCTGGACATGGGCTCCTGACGCCATCCCCCGCTGAGAGGGCCCAGGCTCCCTGGAGAAGCGCCGGCTCTCGGGCCAGGGCTGGGCAGTGTGGGGTGGGCCAGGCCACTCATGGGTCAGTGTGGTCGTCTGGGATGAGGGAGGAGGCACGCGGGGAGGACACGCAGAAATCAGGCCACGGTCCTTCCTGGGCTCATCAGAATGAAGTAGCCAAGTCCGGCCCAGGTGACAGCCTGTGGCGTCCCGGCCCCAGGAGGGCACAGGGGCCCCAACGAGCTTAGGAGTGAGAAGTCGGCTTTCAGTAGAAGTCCACCAGCGAGCAAAGGGGGTCAGAAGTGGCCAGGTCATTGGAGTGACCACTAAGGACACGGGGAGGTGCTGGGTGGGGCGGAGGCAGGACACAGCACCACCTCTGAGCGCCACTCAGTGTTGACTTCCTGGGGCAGGGAACTCCCAGCCAGAACCCTGCAGGTGTCCGACTCCTCAGGTGACCACTGCTGCCGGCCAGGGCTGGACACACGGACGGTACCTCCAGCAACACCTGGATCTAATCTGAGGCAAACCAACCTGGACCGTGACACTTCCAACCCTGTCCAGGTCGCGACGGTGGGGGCCCGGGGCTCTGGGCACTAGGGCCACTGAGAGCGGCACCTTGAAGACCTCGCCCGGCACGGTCCTTCCTCGCCCCGTCTCTGCTCCTCCTCAGCGGCTCTGAAGTCCCCGCCCAGTCTCTTCAGAAATGCCGCAGACTCGAGCCACGTCCGTCCTGAGCTGGGCCTGGAGCCGGCAAGTCACCTGCTTCCAGACACAGCTGTGGGGCAGACACGGGGCAGTCCCATCCCGAGGGCCGAGTCGCTCCCAAGCCCAGGGTGTCCAGCACCCTCCAGGAGAATCACCTCTCTGACGCCCTGAGGGACAGAGGACCCAGGCTCCAGACAGCCCACCCACGGCCGAGGGCTCTCCTGGGTTGCAGTCAGCTCTCCCAGCAGTGCCCACGGGTGGCTCCACAGCCCTGGGCTGTCCCCCACAGCGCCACTGCGCATGGCCTGAGTGGGCTCCCCGTGATGGCCCACCCCGGGGCAGGTCTCTACCTGTGTCCTGAGGTTCCCTGAAGCATCCTAGGGACTCTAGGTGGGGGGCTACAGCCTGCACTTCCTGTACCTTCGTTTCCACCCGAGACCTCGCTGGACCTGCCCTCACCAGCCGTCTTTGCCTCCGCCTCCTCGGCTCCAGAGCTGCCTGCGCACGCGTGTTTGTTGTAGCAACAGCCTCCTTGGTGCCGCTTCTGTCTGACTTCATTCACTGATGCTATAACAAAATGCCTGAGGCAGGGAACTCATGAGGAGCAGAAACACGTTGCTCACAGATCTAGAGGCTGAAGGGCAGGGTGTAAGTACCAGCAGGCTAGGTGTCTGGTGACGGATGCTCTCTGTGTTTTCAAGATGGCCCCTGGTACGCCCGGTCCTCACTGGACTCCCTCCCATCTGTCTTCCAACAGACAGGCAAAGTTGAGCTTCCCCCCCCCCCCGGGCCACCAACTGTCTTGACAGCTCAAGGACATCCTGCCCTGGGTGGCACCTGTGGCCCCAAGTGGGGGTGGGGTGTGGAGCACGGAGGCTGGCAGCTCCAAGGGCAGGCATGCAGCAGCTCAGGTGGGAAGGGCAGGCATGCAGCAGCTTGCAGAGCTGCTGGCAGCCAGGGCCACAGGACGAGGGACATGGCTGGCTTGCTGCCCCTGGGGGCTCCAGCCTTGGGAAGCAAGACCCGGATCTGGCCTTGCACCGGATGGTAGAGGTGGCAGTGCAGACGCCTGCAGGTAGAGGCCGTACCCCGCCCCACACAAGGCGAGCAATTCCTCAGACGCCTCTGAGGTCTGAGCCCCCCCTCCTCCGACAGCTTTCACATCACCAAATACTGAGCACCCTGTGGTTAGGTACCGACAGAGCTGGGCTCTGGATCAGCTTCCTGCTCAGGTGCTGTGTGATGCCGGCCGACGACGGCACTCTCTGTGCCTCCATCCCCACCTGCAGCGTGGGGTGTGGAGGGGGTAAAGGAGCTGGCCTGTGCGAACCCGGGAGAGGCAGTGCTCCCGCGTCCCAGCCCTGCGGGACAGGCATCTGTCCAGAGGCGTCTGTCCAGAGGCGGCTTGGCTTGGGTGTGGCTGGCTGCAGAGGCCTGATCTGCAGAGCCTTTGGCGTCACCCTTGATCGTGGGCACAGCAGGGCCAAGGTGGAGGGTGGAGGGCCAAGGTCACTAGTGAGGCCAGCCCCTTGTTGACGACTGGGGCGTGCTGACACTGGGAACCACCGTCCCCAGGACAGATGTGCAGCCAAGCTCGCCGGACCCTCGGGTGGCATCCACTGCCTCACCAGGAGGCTCCCCAGACCAGGTGGCTTCAGCGACAGGAACGAGTCCCTCATGTTCTGGAGGCCGCAGGCCCAGGTCCAGGTGTGCAGGCCCGATCCTGCTGGGCCTCCTTGGCCGTCGAGGGCATCACCTTCTCCCTGTCTCCTGCCCACCTTGTGGCTGGTCCTCTCTCCCTCTCCTAAGCACAACCAGACAGGACCCACCTACTGACCCCCTTCCACCTAATGACCTCTGTAGAGACCCGTCTCCAGACAGCTGCCCTCTGGGGTGCCGGGGCTCGGGACGGTGACGTGAACCTGGGACAGAGCGCGGGATGGCAGCCGCGAGCTGGCCGGGACACAGCCTTTGCCAGGGCGGGTCGAGGGCCCAACCGCAGCCCTGCCAGGTGAGGCCAGGCCACGAAGGCGGTGGAGCTTCTCCCGAACCGCCACGATGGGGCCGCTGCCCTTGATCCCGAGTACAGGGAGGAGGGGAGGGTCTGCCGCGGCTCGTCCTGGGCTGCAGGCCCCTTGCCCAGAGACCAGGCCAGGCCAGGCCGGCCCTCACCTGTCTCCCTGGGCAGGCAGCAGGGGCTCTGCAGGAGCTCAGGGACACAGAAATGGCCAGGCGGAGGTGCGCTGTGAACCTGGCCAGGGCCGGCCCCCAGGGAGGACCTCCCTGAGGCCCAGGCGTCCACTTCTGGGAGCACAATTACCTAGGTGTTCGCTGGCTCCCGAGACCCCTCGGGGAGGCATCGGGGACCTCCCACCTCAGGCAGGAGAAGCACAGGACTTGAGAGGCCGGTGGTGCTGTCCAGCACGGCAGGACGTGGGCGGGTTCCTGCCAACCATGGCTCCACATGCCCCCCGGGGCAGGACAGGGCCGTCCCTCCTGCTGCCCGTCAATGCTCTGCAGGCTGCCCTTGGCCCCTCCTCTGCTGCCAGGGGCTGGAGCCACACCAGGGCTCAGCGGACGGCAGCCCCGGCCATGTCCACTGGCCAGCTCTTGGGGCGAGAGTGCACTTGGAGACACTGCAGGCCATGGGAACAGAGGAGAAGCCATCGGCCTCCCGAGCCTCCATGGCAGAAGCCCACCGGCTCCCCGCTGCCCGCACACCTCAGTCTCGCTGCGTCCACCTGATGAAGAGGGGCCTGCCCATCTCAGGGTGTGAGGCCAGAGTCGGGGGCAGTCCCCAGAGCCACATCACGGTGAGGGTGGGGTTGGCAAGTGGGGGACAGTTCCCTCCAGGGCTTGGACACTTCCTCTGAGTGGCTGGGCCAGTGGCACGGCCTTCTTCTACGGAAGCATCTAGAAGCACCGCCTGCCGCTTTCCTCGGCTGTGCAAGACCAAGCCCGAAACTGGCACCCCTCCTCCCACCGCCAGGGGCAGGGCGCACTGGCGCTCACGGCAGTGACACTGCAGCCCCCGTGCCCACCCCACCCACCGCCCAGCCCAGCACCACCGTCCCCCTCTGCACACACCAGCCCAGGACCAGCCCTGGGCCCCTGTGCCCAAAACGGGAGGTGCAGGGGGTGCGTGAGCTGGCTCCTCGGGAGGCCGGTCCCTAGGCTGCGTCCTCGTGAGCCCCCAGCAGCGTGGGCCTGCGGAGAGACTTCCCATCCCCTGGGGGCTTGGTGGTGCTTGTGACCCACAGAACCAGGGACAGTCCTGCGGCCCCTCGGCTCCTTGGCAGGTCCTGGCTGTGCTACGGTCTGCTCAGGGTCAGCTGGGCTGGAGGGAGGGAGGGAGCTGACCCAGGGCCCAGGCACCCTCCTGCCAGGCAGAGGACTCGGCCACTCCGGCTTCACGTGCGCCTCTGTCCACAGACACCAAGAATAGGTCCTGCTCAGGTTGGCCCCGCCCCTCCAGGGTCAGTACTGGACCCCTCCCCTGTCAGCCAGGGCCAAGCTCAGGACTCTGCCTTTGGTCCACAGTCCTGGAGGACACAGATGATGATAGACTCCAAGGTCTAGTCCAGCCTCTTGGCATTGATGAGGGACAACTGAGGCCAAGTCCACGAGAGGCAGAACCAAGGTGCCCTGACCACGGGTCTGACTCCTGGCCAGGGCTGATACTTCCTGGGAACAGTCCACTCCAGTCATGAACCAGGCTGCTGGGGAGAGGCCAGCAGTGCGGCCAGGACCCTGAGGCAGGACCCTTGGGTGGACTGACAGGCTGCGGGGACCTCCAGTGCCTGCGGGCAGGGTCTGAGGAACAAGCATGGCTCTTACCCTGGGTGGTCCAGGGTCCTCTGGGTAAGAGATGCCCCCACACAGTGCGGCTGCAAGGACTGACATGGGGCAGGAGAGCCGAGCTGCTAAGGGGTGGCCCGCAGGTCCCTGCCCTCCAGGTCCAGCACCAGAGACCCCAGGGAGAGGACCACAGGTCCCCCTTGACAGACTACCAGAACCCCCACATGGGACCCTTGAGGGAAGACGCAGGGGATGAGACCCAGGTGAGGGGACAGGGAGGACCCACCCTGCCCGGGACCCTCCCCTGGAAACACAGAGCAGAGGAGAGGGTGGGGGTGAAATCTCAGGCTCACCCATGGGAGACCAGGGGACGCTGACCTCGCCCAGGGCAGTCTCAGGGTGGGCTGGGGTGGCCAGGATGGAGGCAGGGCTCTGGGGGAGGGAGGGTGGGTGGCACTCAAGGAGGCCTGTGCCTGGGAGCTGCCCACCAGGAGGACTAGGCTGGAGGCAGGGAATGTGGCCCAAGGCGGGGGTCCCGGGGGCCAAGCCCCAGGCTGCACTCCTGGCATTGGCTGGCCACGGGGGTCTGGGGCCACGGGGGTCTGGGGCCAGGGCGGGCAGGGCGGGTCAGTTCTGGCTCCATGTGGAGGCCATTCCCAGGCTGTGCCGGTGCTCAGGCTACCCGCACCTCTGTCGCCTCACGCCCTGGCTCCCAGGCTCAGGACAGAGCTGCGGTTTGTGGAACCGTGGGCTAGCGGAACACATTCCATTCCCGGGCGCTCTGTGCGTCCACAGGGACCGGCCACTGTGGGAAAGCTCATCCAGACCAACCGCTGTCCTGCAGCCTGGGCGAGTCGCGGGGCTCTCTGGTGTGATGCTGGGAGTCTCCGAGGGGCCTGGCCAGACCTCGCGTCCCCATCTCCTCGTGTGCAGAGGGTGTCTGACGCCCAGGCACAGGCGTGGGGCACGGGCCTGGAGTCCAGCTGATTATTCCACACGCTGTGCACCTGCCCATCAGGGTGTCCCGTCCAGCCAACCAGCTCAGGCCCTCCAGCCACGCAGGCTGGCCGGTCTGCACCATGCTGGGCACTCCTGCTGGGGCAGCGCCCTGGGCAGCATGTGCCCAAGTACAGAGGAGGGACAGAGACGGGCAGAGACAGGGGAGAGACAGGCGGAGAGTCAGAGCCAGAGACAAAGAGGGAGAGACAGAGAGAAAGAGACAGAGACAGGGAGAGACAGAGGCAGGGGAGACAGAGATGGGGAGAGACAGAGGAGAGACAGGCGGAGAGTCAGAGCCAGAGACAAAGAGGGAGAGACAGAGAGAAAGAGACAGAGACAGGGAGAGACAGAGGCAGGGGAGAGACAGAGACAGAAGGAGAGACAGAGACGGGGAGAGACCGAAGGAGAGTCAGAGCCAGAGACAAAGAGG